TATTACAACCTTTTAGATGATATAATCAAGATTAAGATCCTCTAGAATAATATATTCTTCTTTGAATAAATGGTAAAATATAATATATATAGTATCACGATCTTGAAAGAAATTTCTAATCTTTGGTGATTTTATTAGAAGTAGGAACAATTCTTGATAGTATTCTTAATGTTTTATTTGAAGGATGTTATAAAGGCCTCAATAACAATCAAATAATAGGGTAGTCTTCCTATTTAGTATGAAAAACTATCAATGGCTAAAAAGACCTATTAATCAACTTGGAAGAGAATAAAAATCAAAGTGTATAACAAATATAATTCATTGCATTTTAAATGTCCTCAACATATGATGACTACTCTTTATAGAATGTATCTTTAGAAGAAAAGATAATATTATGGACATACATATTTATTTCAATAATTATCTATATGATTAAATAGAAGTAGGTAAAAATAGATTAATTTCATAATAACTTTTAGAAAGGCTTGTTAGAACCTTCATAGATATTACTTTGACTTTATAAGTATTTGTAATTAATTAATAGGTTAAAAACTTGATCAACAAATTAGCCACGTATCACATGTATTGGTAGCTTGTGGAATAAGCTAACCATAAGGTACACATATAGATAATTTACGTTACAAGTCAACATGTTTTGGAGGTCCTATAAAACATCGCCACATATCTCTTAGTTAAAGACGATATATAGAGGCAAGAGTGAAGCTTTTTTTATTCTTGTTAATATCTTTCTAGTCTTTAGTCTTATTTTAAGACTTTTTAATCTTTTTGTCTTTGGAAATAGCCATCCTAGTTCAATATATTATTATCTTTGAATGACTCTCTAATATTTTCAAGTAATATAAGAATGTGTTGAATTTTTTTATTTAAAATTCATGTTCTTAACACATTCTTACCTCTATATATACTATCTACTCAAGAGCTATGTTGTGATATTCTATATAACCTCTAATATATGTCTATTTTGTAAGATACATATTTTAACTTACAAGACAAGTTTCCTATATGTACGCTACATCTTTAGCTTGTATTATAAGCTACCAATATGTGTGATACATGACTAGCTTGTTGGCAAAGTTTTCAAACTATCAATCACTTATAGACATGTATAAAAGTGAACCCATGTCTACAAAGCTTCGATGCAATTTTTATAGAAATTATTATGAAATTAATCTATTTTTACTTAATTCTATTTATTCATATTATTTAGGTAACTATTAGAATAAATATGTATGTCCAAGAAGAAAACACGTAATACCACAATGATCCTTGTTAAGTACCAAATTGATGTTTTTTTAGATAACTTATATAAAAAGCTATTTTTTAATTTTAATTAAAGATGCCTATTATATTATATATAATAATCTACTTAGATTTGTCTTGTTGATGGTCTTACAAAGTACATAAAAGTTTTTTTTACAAAAAAAAGTAACATTAATATTACATTATTTTTTATTATCTTGCTAACTTTTATTTATATTTTCTTTGATAACTTACTATTATATATTTAATTAAGTTCTATAATATAATCATTTTTTTTCTTTCAACTAGTAGTTATGTTATAACACAATAATAGTCTCTATTGTAATTAAGCAAATTTGTTTTTCAACATGTTATCTTCTATAACAACCATTTCATTAGCATAAGATTCAAATCTTATTAATTATAACACAAATTGCATCATGTTTTCTAAACAAGGATTAAAATTTTGCTAAAGAAGCCTAAAGTTGTTCAAAATTAAATCATGTCATTTTAAAAAAGATAAAACCTATGATAAAATAAAATTAAAAAATAATGATTCAATTATTTGACTTATAATCTTGAGATTGAAAAGCTTTGAAGTTGAAGATCAACTATTAATTATACTTAGTTGATAAATCTTCATAACTTTAATTTTGCACCATCAAACTTCTCAAGTGATGTAATATAAGGTTTTCTAATAGCAATAGATATGCTTGTAGGATGCTTTACTATAGAAGAAATTACTAATATACATATAGATGTTGAAGTAGCTTTAACCATCTCTACATCTTTATTCTTAATCAATCTTAATGGTGTTTGTAGTAATGAAGTGAGTTAATACATTGCAAGTATTAATTTTTTCATTTGTTTTTGAATTTGTGCTGTTACACTCTTTATTTTTGTAAACTCAACTATATTTATAGAATGAAAAAAATATCTCATATTTCTTATGAAAAAAGGTAGAAAAAAAATTAAGAATAAAATAAAAATTAAGAACAATCTTACTTTAATAGTAGATATTTCACAACTTCTAATGCATTTATATCTTATTAAGAAAAAAAAAGATAAATTATTCTTAATAAAAAAATATTTAACTTTGATATTGTGAAGCTATTGATAATTTCTTAAGAATAAGAATTTAAAGAACATATATAAGCAAATAAGACATGTATCAAAGAAAGATGGAAAAAATAAAAGAAAAAATATGTATATCCAAGGATAAACTAGAATGGCTATTATAATAGATGAAAAGACTATAGACTCTTGAAACTAGATTGAAAGCACAAAAGACATTGATAAGAGAGAAGAAGGCCTTATTTTGCCTCCATATATATTAACTAACTAAAGATATGTATAATAATACCCTACTAATCACATGAGATGCATATAACTTGCAAAATACTTGTCAAACTTATAATGCAAGTTTACAACATGCACACCAAGTTGTCAACTTATTGGCCAAGTTTTTAAACTACCAATCACCTACAAACATATATATTATCAAATCTGCTATTATAAAGATTCTAAGAAATTTTGTAATAGGTAATTAAAATTTTAATCTAATTTTATTAATTTCTATCTAAATCTACTTTTCCTAGTAATTAGGTTAATAATTTTTAGATGTATGTAATACTTATTTATTTAAATAAATATTTTTTTTAGACTTTGAAAAACTTTTTTGTGATTTGAAATCTAATGAAATGTTAAATTTGATAATTACAAATCAAGTTTATACACATCAAAATATAAAGACCCATAAATTCCATAAGATGTTTTTTTCAACTACATTTTGTATTAAACGAAAATAGCACAATAAAATAATTAAGAAAATACTATGTAATAAAGATTTATATACAAATTTATTTCAATATACAAATATTAATGTTTAAAATCAGAAAAAAAAAAAATGAACATACAAGAAACTTTAGCAATGAAGGCAGAAACAGTTATTGACAAAAAAAAATAATCTCAGTTTTTGTTTTCCTGATTTCAAGTACAGTAAGTCATCAATGTATTATGGGAATGACTTACACAAGGGCATTGCATTATCAATAAAACACTTCCTTTTTTTTTACCAACATAAATAAAATAAAATAAAATAAATTATTACAAAGATAGAGGTAGGGCTCTCTTAGGATCTCATCGATGGATGTTGTGAGTACGTTGTGAGTACTCACAAAACCCCGAACATCCATCGACTTTTGTGAGTACTCACAACGTACTCTACTTCGTATTTGTACTCACAACATATCTACTTCGTATTCATATTAAATGATTACAATACCCGTATATGTATTATACTACCAGCGTACATGCACATACTCCGCTGTCTCTCACGCGCTGCAGATCGGCTGATCCGTAAGCGCAGTGAGGACTAGCATCGCCACTCTTCCCTCAGATTCGCGTGTCGGCTTTCTCGTTCTCATGCGATTGGGTGTGTATTGCAAGTAAAACAGCCCCTTACGAAAACGAGACAAGAGCGTCGATGAAATTGAGCGGGGTAGTCGTAGCTTTTTGCGCAACGTGAATACAAAAATATGTGCGATGAGCTGAACTTTTGTTGCGTTTCGACACCCCTCGGACGATGTTTTTGACGCTTTGTCCCTTCCAAGAGGCCAAATGATACGAAGAATCTGAAGGGCGTGGGTGGAAAGAGACGATAGGGTTTGGGGCTTTGTTAGAGGTGAAGTGTGAATTTTTTACAGTGAGAGTTTCTTTTGACTTAAAGCGGCCATTCCAGGGTGGACTGGATTGCAGTGATGAACTTGGGTCCTAATTTGGAATTGTTGCCGCAAGCCTTACGGAGCATGGAGCCCTTGTGGGAAACGAAGTGCCCCAAAAGTTACATGGACGGTGGGTCAACCCGTGTGGAAGAAATATTAGGTTCAGAATGTCATTTTGGGGGGTTGATGGTTCCGAGGAAAGTGTAAAGAAAAAGTTCAATGTCGACACAGTTTTAAGACGAAGTTGACTGTCAGTAACGGTGGAGTTGGTGACGTCGGTTCACTGGGCGTGCCTACGGTTTTTGCGTGAAAGGGATAATGCAGCTCAATCTATGCCATCACATAGAGCGTTTTTGTGTTCAGAAGGAATAGGATTAACTTGTAGTGAATAGCTCATTGTCCGTAATTTTCAACAGACAGCAGATTTTGGGGACAATCACACTATGAATCGTCAAAATGGAGCAATCGTTAACATCCACAACCATCACCTACCTCCCAAGTTCAACACTCTGTTCACTTTCCAAAATGAGAGAATTTCTTTGGCATTCGGAGTGAAAGTGCAGCGCATCGTGGATGATACAAACTGGGGGTTCTTCAATATTCGCATCAAATGCCTGGACACATTGCGATTGGGTAAGAGCAAATTTTGTTTTCCTGAAGCATTCGGTCTTCCAATTGTGTTGGGATAACTGCATCTGCAAGGACGGAAAGTACATCAGGATAGCTTTGTCAGAAAACGTGAGCTTTTGTTTATCAATCACTCCGCAAATTTAATGCCCATTCGCCGAGCGTTTCCAAGTGGTACATGGGATAGCAGGTTTTGCTGATTCGAAGTATTCTTGCACAGCTGTCAACTTTCAGGGCTTGCCGTTGCTGAGAGAAGCTTTTTCTCGAGTAAGAAACTGTGAATGCAATTAAAGCCCTGTCATGACATCGCAATTTTTCGACGTCTCAGAACAACCTCCCCTGGAAACTGGAAAACTGGAAACAATCACATGTTTTTTTTAATTAAAAAAATTATAAAAAAATAAATATAAATATAAAAAATTACAGGTACAGGTACAGAAATGGGGCGTTAACAAAAAAATCGCTAGGGTTTCCCTGTATACTCAAGTAAACTATTCACTTGATTAATTGCCGCTCACCTTAGATGCAAGAATCTAAAAGTGGTACTCAGGTACAGATCAATGTTTCGATCCATGAACCATTGCGATTCATGAAAACTTATTTTGTACAGCACACTTCTTTATCTTGAATACTAAGCTAGATACTGAGAGAAGGATCTTGCTCCCTCACTGCCTTTCGTTGTGAAGGTTCTACCAAACACTAAAGAATGATTAGGAAGCACTAGTTGTACATAACCTTCGTCAAATGCACAAGTCTTTCAGCAACAGACCCCTATAGAACGGGACGAAGTAATGAATAGAGCACCATAATCCGGAAGACAGCCCCATACATCCAGTGCATCGTGTGGAGAGCGTCAAATCCAATTCGGACAAGTGTGCACAGACACACGTCTACTTCTTCTTCTTCTTTTTCTTCTTATCCAATCCTGCAGGATCACCACATGGCTCCAGCTTCTGATCCACTTGCAGCTCGAAGGGCACCATCCGAGTCTCCCAAAACGTGTCTTGGGTGATGAACGTAGTGTGGACCACCCCCTCAACGTTGAAAACCGCATTTGTATTCTCGAGCTCCTTCGGAAACCTCCAAGAGAGGGTGTCGTCATACTCTGCCCCCGTGAAATGGACGCCACCGTTTGTACCCAGTGGCAAGACCGCCAACGGATTGATCGGCATCCGTTTTCCAAACTGCCATATCGACTTCTTCGTTTCTTGCAACATGGGGTTCCACCGATCAAAGGCTTGTCCGTGCCAGCTAGACAAGTGCCAATTGAAACGGCCACCTTGGTCTCCAGACGCAGGGAGTTGCTCCATTCTCCAGGGCTTTCCGTCGATTTTTGAAGTGGTTCCTTTGGAAAACTGTATACCGACAGTGGCTGTCGGTGCAGCTTTCAATCTGGCCTGAGCTGAAACGCGGACTGTCTCGGCAACTCCAACTTTCATTGCCATGTTCGACGAGGAAGCTGTCATGCTAACGGAGGTCATGGTGGGCGTCACAGGAGTGATCGCCAGTGATATGAAAGTGGGGAAGTGGCCAGTTTTCTTCTCTTCCCACATCTGGTTCTCCACCGTTGCACGCAAGTGATTGATGCCCACTGTCATCTCAATGTAGTTAGGTTGGATGTCAACTAGAATCTTCATCTGGATGTTGAGGTTCATCATCTGCGGAATAATGGGCTTGATATACTGATAAGGTCGCATGAGCTGCTTTGACCCCTTTGCATTCTGATATGAGGTTTCGAGCTCCATGAGCAAAACGGGCACTTCCATGAAAACCTCCCAGACTCCGAAGTGCGATCGACTGGTGCACCTCCAGAACTTGCCCTCATCCTTTGACTCATGAGACAACGCGGGGCTCTTCCGCATGGCGTTGTAGAGTGCAAACAGTATGATATCCCGACCCAGCTTGCCTGCAATCTTCATTGCAATATGAATCAACTTTTCACCTACTTGATCGCTAACCATTTGCAGTTGTGCGAATTTAGTTTGGTCCTCCGTCATAAGAGCCCGCTTGCTTTCAATGGGTCGGGCGTTGCATTCATCTCGCTTACTAAGAAGCTCCAGAATCACAGCCCCATGGCCGTTGCAAACGGCAATGATCAGATACCTCCACAAACAATAGGTCTGATAACAAGCCCTAACAGCCCCGTGGACGATGTCCTCCTCCGATTCCGCTGCCCGGAGCTCCAATCTCTCGGAATCCATGGCATGAGTTGCCGAAGGCAGAAGAGATTTCACCTTCGCTAAATTCTTAATCCACGAGTTGGTTAAGCGAGCGTGCACATACGAGTAACCGCCGTTTTTTCCTTTGGACAACTCGTACCCCATCAGTGCCAACATGGACAAGTTGGTCGTGCGCAACAGCTCTTTCACAGTCTCGTAGTGGCCACAGTCGACGGCCGTCAACATGGCGAAGTTGAGGAACCTGGGGGTGAGCACGGAGCACTTGAGCTCCGCCATCCCTTTCCGAAGGATCGTCACAACATGCGAGCAGCCGCTCTCGGCAGCTCGGACCAATGCATGGCCAACCACGTGCCCGTGAAGCACCCGATTCAAACCCACTGCATCACGCATCCGAGATTGAGCTCTATCAAACACCGCCTGGTATTCGTTGTCCTTAACTACACACTCGGGTGCATCTTGACACAGCAACTTCAAACTTCCGCTTTCAATCTCCTTTTCCGCCCATTCCAAAACACCGGCCAAGTCTACCTTGTTCCCAAACCTCGACGCTCCTCTCTCCGCTACCCGCAGCGCTTCCACAAACCCCGAGCTAACCTTCTTTTCCATCTTTATACTCGGCATTCTCATCTCACAAATCCCCTCGCTCTATATCTCTGTCTCTCAATCCACCGATTCTCACATCCAGGAGCATACCTGATCTGTAAACCAACCATACACCCGTCCTATCCATGAAATCCAGACCATCTCTGCGTTCCTCAACAATCTCCGTCACCACTCACATGTTCAACACAAGCCACCACCGACAGACTACACAGCATCACTCACAAAAAGCTGAATTCAGCAACTAGATTAAAGAAATAAAACACACACACACACACACACACACACTAAACGGCCAAAACAAACCCCACTCAAACTAGACAGCGCATCCACCGGTCTCACACCAGCATCAACGCAAACGAAGGAGAAACACCACATCATCAACAACCTCTGCATTCTGCCTCCAGCTTCCGCACCGTTAGAAAAGTGAGAGAAGACACTTCACCACGCGACCACACTTCCACATCAACGGAGGTTGGGGGACGAGGAGGAGGGGATGCGAACCTCATCTCCTCTCGCGACGCTCCACTTCGGTGTCATGACCTCGCGAGCGGAGCGCGGTTCAGAATGGGCACTAGGTGGGAGTGAGATCTGTGCGGTGACAGTGGCCACCATAGTCTGTTGCGTGGTTGCGGAAGATGCCTTGGGGGTCGCAAATGACGAAGTGGGTGCGAACAAGGTTACAGTCCATGAGCCGCAGATCCCTGTGTCCGCAGCGATGCGATTGACTGCGCCCCTGAATCAGCGTAGGCTCCGCGGACCGGGTGAATCTGGGGTGAATCTCGTGGGCCTTCTTGCCCGGTGGGGGTGCGGGGGCGTCGATACATGCGCCGGATCTCGGTTGCGCTAGAATCTACATTCTTCCACTTTACAGTTTTTTCATCTCTCCTTCTTAGTTGCATCTTGCTTCGTTCACATCGCTGATCCCACTTTGGTATTCAATGCTGCCAAGCTTTGTTTCTGTTCCCCCTCTCCACTTGGCAGATTCAGGATCTGTCTGTTTGTTCTTTTGTTTGTTTTTCCAGCTTCGTTGCTTCAGCATTATTAGTTCTTTTCTATCTCAGCTTTCCAATCCTTTCCAGTTATTCAAAAGATCTGTAAGTCTGTTTCTCGAAACCCAAACAGAAAGATTAGTGCCGAAAACAAAATCCAATCATCCAATACTTGATTGATTCCAAACACACCCAAACAAAGTCAACTCATCAAATAGAAATGGGTACTCACAAAGTGTTTTAAAAAACAAAAATAACAACCACAACAAACTCATGGACAAGAATCACAATGCAAAAGTAAAAGGTTTGATTTAAGAATTGTGATGCACGGGGCATTTCAAAACCAATTTCATGCTTTGCAAAGCCTTATGTCTCATATCCCATTGAACTACTTCAAATATGAGCACCTCCTTGTGAACAGAAACTTTCAAAGATTTCAAGCAACGCATTCATGATGCTTCTTATTTCTATTATTATTATTATTATTATTATTTTGTGATTATTAATGCCTTCTTCTTCTTATTCTTTGGTTAAATTCAATATTTTGTTCTCATCTGTAGCTTAATATTTTTTTGTATATGAATAAATCCAAGAAGACTTTCACCTCTTAAGTAATACTAGGAAGTAAGTGACATATGTATATGTTGTGGTCATGCATGATTCTTTCCTAAAACTGAAGCTCTAGAGTTGTAATGCATATATCAATTGCCTGAAGATACAAACATTAAATAGCCAAATAAAGATGAATAAATTATGTTGCTACAAGTATAATAATATATATTATTATGATTTTCGTATTTTCTTTTAATGTCGTCAACATGAAACAAATTATTTTCGAATAAACATCTTTGGATTTCTGTCATGTTTAGAAAGTGTTATGTTATTATGAGTCTATGATACATTGAAATCACATTGTAGATCATTTGGTCTACAATTGATTATTAGTTAACAACATGAAAAATTATTTCAATTTCCAAGACTTGTCTCAGAAACTCTATGATATTATAAATAAATAAGTAAAATATTAAACTACACATAAATATGAGTACTATATTTTGCAACATGAATGTAAATATATATATATATATATATATATATATATAGTAGCATTGAATCACTCCCTCATAGTTTATTATGTCCAAACTAGTTTGTTGAGATTTAGCAAGCTATCCTTACATTTCAGTAATCAATAACTGTGATTCTGTTTTCAAATAAGTGATGAAGGTATTAATAGCTTGAAAGAAATAATTCAAGTTATTAATTTACAGAACAAAATTTTGTCTGTCAAACAACATCAATTCTGCTTTTTTAAAGTTAAAAATCAAATATACATAAAACATAAATACAAAGTGGATTCCAGTTTGAAAGATGAAAAATTAAAATTGATCCATTCAAGTCATAATTTTTGGATATCTACAACAACTATAGTTGTATTACAGAAATATGGATGAAATGGTACATACATACATACATACATACATTTTTTATTTGATTAGGATATTACGGCAAAATCAAATACAAGTATGTGAGTCCACTTGTTCAATTTAAACACATTGGCATTGACACAAAAATCCCATTAGTTTTTTTGATTTTTTTTTTAAGTATTAAATAAATGTACTTTATAATGTGCATAGAATATAAATAGCTTGCAAAAACAAGAGTTCTTGATATATTTCAATTAAACAAAACTAACATAAACTGTTTGTGCATGAACCTTATATTTGCTTCAAGGACCAATTCATATATTGATCCAACATTTTGCACTTAGATTCCTGTCGTGACACAAGTACTTTTAATTCAGCCATTTCTATGAAAACAATGTTTCAAAACAACTCCAATGCTTTAATTTTATTTCTTAAAGATGTTGCATCATATCAACACTTTTTATTTTGTAAATCATATATAATTATATTACTATTTAAGAATGAATTAAATGTTATGTACAGAATCAAATAACAGTTTTCTTAAATCTTTCTATTTATCTGACTTTGCAAAAGCTCACATGTCTTTTGAAAACTTCACAAATGCCATGTCTTTCAACAACATAACAATTAGCATGATTATGACTAATGTATTACCTTGAGAAAAGTTACATGCACTGAGGGAATTTTAAAAGTATATGTATGTATGTATGTATGTATGTGTATTCTAGAGTACACATACATATGTACTCTAGAGACTTGTGATAAGTCAATCTATAAATAACGTTAAAATATGATAATATGCATTTCAATCTTCACAGTTCCACCAACAGGGACCCACACACCAAATCCCCCATCACCACAAGGCATCAATAATTTCCAATAATTAGCATGGCCTGTGAGCTACATCTCCACTTTTGTCTTCATCTCATCTCCATGGAAGGCCGCATGTGGAACTTCCTCGCATCCGAATAAAAATTGATTCTATAACTACCAGTCAACAAATTGGTGGGTACATGCGTGTGATTGAAAAGTGAATGCCAATGGAAAATGCAAACGGGTTTGTATTAGAAATATGACTCAATTCCAAAACATAATTCTATGATATGTAATTTGTGGTAGTGAAGCTCTATATCATCAGTTTCTAGTTGAATCTTTCATCCAACTTTAATGTGTACTTCTCAAAATATAGAATCTGTCAACAATAAAATAAAGATTGGTTATGATATAAGTTTTAAACCTTTTTAAAAGGATTAAAGAAAGATATCTTTTCATAAAAATATTTAGTGTGGAATTTTTATGTAATTTTGGAAGTAATTAGAGTTAACAATTCAAACATAGCTCATGAAAAACATAGATTTTGAGAAAATTTAGTTAAAGAAAAAATTATATTTCTTTGAAAAAAAGTAATAAAAAATATTACCTAATTCTAAATTTATGATCTTGTTTATCATTTTTCATAAAATATCTACTAATGAAGTGGAATAAAGATTATGATTGGTGCTTACAACATTTATAAACCAAAAAAAAAGAACCTTTCTACCACTTGAATTTATTCTTGACAATATATTTATAACATAAGAAATTATACACTAAACTAAGAAATCTAATGTGCCATCATTTTTCTTCAAATCAAATACTTTCAAATCTTATCTTAAAATATCTTAGAATTTTTGAATTTTTTAAAGCCATGCAAAAAAATTAAACTTTGTATTTAACTCAGTAAATATATAAAAAATAAAAAACTTACTTCCAAAGGTAAGAATAAGGTTGTATATAAGTGGTAATATAATTGTCATTCTTTTATTTAGAAAAGGAATATATTAGAGTTTTTTTTTTTTTTTTTTTTTTTTTTTATATTGGCTTCTTACTTATTTTCTTATCATTAAAGACACTATGAACTTACCTTGAGAGGCTCCATAACTTAAGGTCACTAATTTACCTTTGAAAATAAACTATAAACTTATATTTTTAAATTTTAAATTTAAAATTAATATGAACTTCATTTTTTTCTTAATATCAAGAAAATAATAACCACCAAATATTTTTTATCATATGAAAAAACTAAATTATCAGTATTTAACTAAATTTATTATAATGTCTTTTTTCTTTTCTTTTTTATATTTATTTTTATGTTTTGGATAGAATTTTGAAATAAAATATTAAAAATTAAAAAATTTGATTAGATATTGTATGTTGAAAAATACTCAATCTTGTATTGTAATCAAAGTTGCATATAACATCTATTGCAAATATAAGAATAAAAATATAATTATTCTTACTAGTTTCAAAGATGCAAAATAAAACTTTCTTGCACAATAGATTATTGAGTTCTTATATTTGAGTAAATCTATTCTAAAACATTTTTTAAAACATATGTTCATATTAGCTGAATTGAAAGTTCTAAGTAAATGGTTATGATATTATACATGGGATTCCACAAAATTGATTCTACCTTTAATTCAAAGGTAGAATCAATTTTTAAAGAATAGTCTCAAATTGAAAAGATGTATATGAAGTTAGTCATTCATATAGAAACAAGAATCTTGACTATACTTAATAAGGTTTGGAAAATATATATATATATATATATATATATATATATTAAAATTTAAAAAATAGTATAATTTTATTAAAAAAAGATCAAAAAGAATTAAATGCATTTTCTATGAGAAAATATAATATTTTATAACACAAGAAGAATCTATCTAAATATTTATTTTAAAAAAATTAAAGACATAGTTTTTGACAATAATTTATTTATAAATGTATTTTATTGAAGCAATTGACAATACTTAGAAGAAGAGGGAATTGAACTACCAAAACCAAAAGACTAGATCTATTTTTAAATAAAATTTAGATGATATTTTAAAAATTTCATCAATGAAAAAAATTACAAAAAATAAAAACTACAACAATGTTGTAGTTTAAATTACCTAGACTAATTAAGATCAGTATTTATAGGATAGAAAGTCAATTGAAAATCTAAAATATGACACAGCACCATCAAAAAAAATACAACTACAAAAAAAAGATTTCCAGAATAAAGATTAAATTAAATATGAGACTTTATTAAAGAAATTAAGGTGATAATTTTTTTTATTAAAATAAAATAAATCAAACCCATAACAATAAAGAAAAATATGTTATTTTATGGTACAAATGTTGCTTTGCTATTTGATCTAAGGCCTTTGGGTCCAAATTAATAACATACACAATCATAATGGTAGATATTTTTTACAAAATATATATATATATATATATATATATATATATATTTAGTACATTTTAAACAATTTAAAATAAAAGAAATT